ATTAACTTTTCTAACCATGAACCATCATTGTTGAAAATCTTTACTTTTATCACAGTCTGGTCTTGGAATGTGTAACTTAGTAAACTTAACGAACTGGAGAAAACAGGAACCAGACGAGAATCAGATCAGACCTGAGACTCGACTCTGCACAATCTACAGTTTGTATATTTGATATTATATTAGGCTCGTCTATGATTTCCAAATAATACAAAATCTTACCAAATAAAAACGGGATGACAGATCGGGACAACCCTATAGTTTGCATGTTAAACTCATGTGAATAAAACTAATAGACAAAAACTAAAAACAACTAATGGATCATTTCAGCTGTGGGATTTCCATTTCCATTAAACTAAAGGTAAACGGAACTGTTAACTTGAAAACTACCAGTTCATGACATCACGAGGTGGATCAGAGCAGAGTTTTGAGGTTTGATGTAGACAGAATAATAATAAAGGGTTACTCAAACACAATTCTGGGTACAGTATGTTTATGATGAGGTAAAACCTTTCAAACATGACTCAAAGCTCATAAGAGTCAGTTTATAGTCAGTATTACGGGACCTTTACCTTCACACCACAGACGCGATCCCATTAATATTAATAGAGTAATGATGTTTACTTTGATTAGTCTAAAAATGGACGCTTAACAGAACATGACTAATGCCCTCTCAGGTGACAGTGTTGAGGCCCGTCTGACACCTGCACTTGTACTCATTAGCAAACACCTCCTGGGGTCATGAATATGCAAATACGCAGGCTAATATGATTCACACACATAACAGGTCTTTCCACGGCCGGCTGTAAACCCGTATGTACTCTGCAGATCTCACCTCGACCGCGGGTGTGAAGAAAGCTCATCACTGCTCACGCCTCAGCTCAGGGTTACACTCCATATAGCTTTGGCACGATGCTCTCTTAAAGGTTGTATGGAGGATTTTTTTTTTTTTTAGTTTCAAAGTGTCAATGAAAGTTTAAAATACCATTACAGAGATGCAGCAGCTTTGTAATTATGATGACCAAAAAAAAAAAAAAAAAAAGAATGAAAATCTATGAGCTGTGGATGTAGTGAGGCCAGATAAACATCAGCCAATAGAAAACGAGGCTGCCTCATTTTCTATTGGCTGTTACGTTGTCAATCAAACGCCCTACGTTTCTAGTGTAACTGACTCGCCGGCGCGCGGGGATTACGTGGTTTATGCAGCGGTTCTTAGGCTGCGTTCAGACTGCAGCCTGAAGTGACCCAAATCCCGATTTTTTGGCTTCTATGTTTCTGTATCTGATCTTTTAATGACAGTCTGAACGATACAGATCAGATTTTTTGAAATGCGACCCAGACCACTTGGATATGTGCTCCTGAAACCGATACATATCTGATCTTTTGACATGCGACTTCAGTCTGAACGGCCAAAGCGCATTCATTCGACCTACACGTTATCAACAAGCTACAAACATCACTATTCTGCGCTGAAGTAGGCGAAAATTGTTAATGAACTCCGTGTCACTGAAGTGAAGCACATCACCACTCACCACTCTTGGCTCCGTCTCCACATCCACACGTTCCTTTCAACGGACGTCGCTGCCGCTGCCCCCACAAACACCACGACCAAAAACCTCGTCCTTCTCCTTCTCAAGTCTCCTCTTTAAAACAAGTAAGTTGTTCATGTTCTGGCTCCGGTACGAGAGGAACTTTAAAATCTCCAGGTGCTCAATGCTCGTGTCCATGTTTGGACAACTTCCATAAACACAGAGACGCTCGCTGCGGTTGACGTCGTCGTGTCTCCAGTGCACATGCGGGACACTTTCGGGCCGTTTACTGTTCACACATTGGATCACGCACAAGTCACATTTAATTGGAAATGTGAACGACCTCGCAAAAACATCGGATTTCACAAAAAAAATCGGAATTGAGCGTTAAACCCTGCAGTCTGAACGTAGCCTTAGAGGCTTTTTCAAACTCTCGCCTCCTCGAGACACAAAGTTTGTTTTGCGAGAATCCACGACCAGTTCGCTGCAAAAGAAAGTCCGTTTTTGAGATCGCTGAAAGAAGAAGAGAAGAGCTGTAAACGTGATTTCTAGAGCAAGGAGGCGGGAGGAGGTGTTTCTAGTGAGGGAGCTGTGGAGGAGGGAGGTGGTGTCACGCATGCACATTTAAAAAAGGACTGTCGCTGTATTTCTCGTTCCTTAACAAATCCTCTATACAACCTTTAATGCCATACTGAGGCACATTAAAGGCAACGCTATAGCATCTCCACGGAGTCAAGAAGGTGAGGGAACTACAATCAGAAAAAAAACAAACAGGCAGAGGTGAATAGAATCATCAAAAGTTGAGTAATTACACTTTAAAATAATATTACTCAAGTAGAAGAACAAAATAGTGGTCCAAGAAATTACTCAAGTAAGAGTAAAAAGTATTTGGGAAAACTGTGTTACTCAAGAACTAAGAAAATACTACTTAAAGAATAACTGTAAGGAGGTAACATCTTATAATTTGAAGTTAATATATCTGGAAGGAGAAAACAATAAATAATGCACACAAACTGGTATAAAGATGGATGAACTAACTCATATCTAAAGTAGCGGTGCAAGAAATACAACTGCCCAAATCATTTCATCTTGTCAACATAAATCTTTTGTCACCTGTAGACTTACTCAAAGTGGGAAAAGTACTTTATTCAAGTAAGAGTAATATGAACTTAGTTAGCTTTTGAAATTTTGCTTTTAACTCAACGTTCGCTGCTAGAAAGTACTTTGAAAAGTATTTCTCTAAAAAGTTATTCAAGTAAATGATGTGTACTTTATCTGTGTACATAATATACATATATTTGTTGAAGTTTGTTAGATTTGTAATGCAATGCAGGTACTGTGCAATTATTGTTTATAATGTACAGGAAATAGGAAGTCTGTATATCTGCTTTGTTCATTTGGAACGGTAGAAAAAAAATGGTGGGGTTAAATAAGTATTTTCTTCCTCCCACTCCTTTTTTGGACACTTTTTGGACAGGCAAGGCAAGGCAAGTTTATTTGTAAAGCACAATTCGTACACAAAGTAATTCAAAGTGCTTTACAGAATAAGAAATACATTAAAATCATAATAAAAACAAATCAAAACATAAATAATCATGAAGATTAAAATTTTTAAAAAGAGAGACATAAATTGGAGAGAAGAGTGCAGAATGAAAACCTTTCAGTCATATGCACAGTTAAACAGAAATGTTTTGAGCCTGGATTTAAACAGCGTCACAGAAGAGTCTGTCTCACATGTTCAGACTGTTCCAGGTTTTAGCTGCATGAACCTGAAACTCTGACTCCCCTTGTTTAGTCGTGACTCTGGGCACCAGCAGGAGGCCGGTCCCTGAGCTCCTCAGAGTGTGAGATGGTTCATATGACACTAACATGTCACAGATGGACTTTGGTGCTCGGCCATGGAGACACTTGTACAAGCAGAGCTGCTTTAACTCTAGTCTCTGAGCCACAGGAGCCAGTGCAGAGACCTGAGACACAGGACTTATGTGCTCGTACTTCCTTAGTTCGAGTAAGGACCCGAGCTGCAGCGTTCTGGATGTTCTGGATGTTCTGGATGTTCTGCAGCGTCTCACAGCTCGTTTGGAGAGACCAGTGAGCAGAACATTACAGTATCTAACCTACTGGAGACAAACGCATGAATAAGTTTCTCCAAGTCTGATTTAGACAGTAAACCTTTGATTTTTGCTATGTTTTTTAGATGGTAAAAGGCTGCAGATGTTATTGATTTGATGTGGCTGTTAAAGTTCAAGTCTGAGTCCATTATTACCCCTAGATTTCTTGCCTGATTTGAAGGTTTTAGAGAGAGAGACTGGAGGTGATGCTGACACTGTCCCTTTGTGTCTGTGGACCAAACACTATGACTTCAGTCTTGTCAGACACAAGGAAAATTCTGCGTAACATTTATTTTGCCTGTTATTATAGAATAGAAATAGTTACTTTTTGTGTTATATCTATGTATTTATGTTTTTTTAAATTTATGTTCTATGTATTACTGTCTGAATAAATATTCATTCATTCAGTGTAACTCAGTACTACCCACCTCTGCAGATCAGGTGTGAGACTTGGCATTTTGGGGATACAGAAGTTTAATGTCGTACTGTTTAACAGACCGGGGAAAGTTGTTGGTGTAGATACAGAGAACAGCCAGTGGTGAAACCTCTGTCAGAAAAATTACACACTGCACCTTTAAATAAAGCAAAACAAAATAAACATTGATTTCCAATTGTTAATTTCAGTTAACAAGGATCTACTGATACTTACCTGCTGAGTAAATGATCTGTGCTTAAAGCCTCGCTGTGGGACATTCTACCCAGTAACTCTCCAATGCAAATATTCAGAGGTGTGACCATGTTGTCATTTTGCGGGTCTCAAATAAGTCTCAAGTCTTTGACCTCAAGTCCGAGTCAAGTCCCAAGTCAAATACAGGCAAGTCCAAGTCGAGTCTCAAGTCACTGGTTCATAAATCCAAGTCATAGTCCAAGTCGTCTGCTCTGAGCTTCAAGTCATTACAAGTCTTTAAACCAAAGTACCAAATATAGTTTCGATTTTTGCAATTTGTATGACTTTTAAGATAAATTGTACATATAAAGTCATAGTATATTTATATATGAGTAATTATGAAGTGTATAAGAGTAATAGAAATGCATTTTTTTATCTCTTCACAAGACCTTAGAGTGAATCATTACAGACAGAATAGAAAGAATTTAGATTTAAAAGTGCCTCTCAAGTCTTCTCAAGTCCAAGGCGAGTCCCAAATCTTAGTACATTTTATCAAGTCAAGTCTCAAATCCTAAAAATAGCCACTCAAGTCTGACTCGAGTACCCACCTCTGCAAACATTAAACAATAGAAATCCAAGGAGAAGTTCTACACCAGAGGCATTTCTCTCGATTACATTTTGTTATTTTACATACGTATTTCAAAATAATAATTAACTAACTGAAGGACATCAAGAATATAAAATTGTGATTAATAAATTATCTTTATTAAAAAGTATGAAAATCAAGATAAATTTACAAAGTGAAGAGTCTCAGAGGACAGTCTTGCACACTAGACTAGAGCACGTGTATGAGCTGTAAACCTTGTCCACAAATCAAAACATATCCCTCCTCTGTCCCTCCAGTGTCTCTTTTCTCTGTATAAACCTCTCCTCCGTTTTTATTTCCTGAGTCGTCTCCATCTCCAAACACCACCTCAGCACTTGACCCACTTTCCCAGTCGCGTTCCTCTTCCCAAACTGCCAGAGCTGCCGCGTCTGCCACATGGGAACATACTGCCCTCTGGTGGCCGATCCCTGAACTGCCAATTCTCCACAGACAGACTCTCTGATCGCAAGATGTAGAAACAATTTGATTCTCCTTTAGTAGCTTCAGAGAGGTTAAAGGAGCAGCGTGAGCCAGTGGGATGTGATATTGGTTCACCAGACTGATAAAAAGCTGATTTTGTGGATCTGAATTATCAACGATCTGGATTTTGATTTGAGAAACAGCCAGTTGGCCGTCATCTCCTCCACTTGCGATAGTTATGTGATAAAAGTCATTAAGTTTGATTGGGGAAATGTCCAAAGAGTTGACGCCGCTCTGATGTGCAGAAACAGTGAATATGGGTGAAGAGGGATTCTGATCGGACGATGAGAACGAGGGAAAATCCCACACAGCAATCTGTCCGTCTGTAGCAGCGGAAAACAGCAGCTGATGCCTGGAATATAAAGGGAAGATGAATGTAAAATGCTGTTTAAAATGGTGTATTTGCAAATGATTTTAGGTAAACCAGTATAATGTTTTGTTTTGGGGTAGCAGCAGCTTTTATTTTGTTAATAAAATAGACTGAAGTTGTAACACTCCCAGGTGGTACAAGCAATTTACATTAATTAAACTTTTATTGTTATTAATTTTTGGTAGTTAACTTTTAAAATGACTACAAAGTGCTTAATTATTTATCACTTTAAAGGTGCACAGTGTAACTTTTATTGTGGATCGTCCGCCAACTGCTTTTCTCATGGAGCTGTTACTGTTTGGCTGGAATTTTCCACAGTGAAGCATTACACTCGCTGAACTCCATGAAGTAGGGATGGGCATGATTAATCGATTAATCGATAATTGATCATTAAGAATTTCATCGATTACGTTAATTTTAATCGACAAACCGAATGTAGGTTGCTGTGTGTATCGTGACCAAACAGGTGTGTACATGTGTCTCTCTGCATCAGAAGGAGCGAGACACAAACAGTGGGTCAGTCTGCAACGTACCGAAGCACAAATGTGTATTTAACGATGACTTCTACAAGAAATTCCACGCTTTCCGTTGCGTTCGGGACAAGTGTGAGTCCATGTGCACAGTGTATAAAGCAGGAACATATGTTTCTGTGTCCAGTGGGAAAAAAGTTTTACCAGGTGAGAGTCGCTCAATGTCGATGACGAGTCCCCACCTCCCTCCCCCCGTACGGTGTCCTGGTTTTGACAAACGCAAATCTGGTCACACTAACCTGTATTCCACTGAGTCATGTCTTTTAATCCGACAGAAGTTGAACCGCATCAGCGACACAAGAGCTGTAGTTTTATCTTCGCTGAGTTTATGCAAATTAGCGATGCAGTTTTAAGTTTTGTTTCTGTGAGAGTTGCGCAAAACTGAATTAAACACATTATAATGTCAAACGGGCTGATGTGGCTCTAGAGTCGTTACGGTTTATATGTCGTAAAGTTGAATTTATTTATGCAGATTAGTAGTGTAGATAGTAATAATAATGATGATCATTTTAATATAAAAACGTTAATGATTAATTGATAATCGATCGTTAATTCTTCCGACGATCGATTAAGAAAATTTCATCGAATGCCCATCCCTACCATGAAGATAAGCAAAATTATACTAGGTCTAGACACAGGTTAGTTCTACGGAGTCTGTTTTTCATGGCATTTTTAAGCAATAAAAACATCTGTAATATAATCTGGAATAATAAAATAGACAAGTTTTATGCTGTACTGCGGAACATTCCAGGCAAAACAATCATATCCCCATGGAGACAAGCAGGTGGTGGACCCTCTGCCGGGAAAGTTACACAGTGCACCTTTCATTTAGTCTTAACCTTGTATATATTTACTTTTAAAACATTTTAAAATCACATAATAGGTACCATGCTCTGTTATTCATTTCAGTGTTCAATGTAAATAAATACTGTCATAATATAAATTTCCTTTTTCAATATTATCTATAATTTTATAATCTCTACAGTAGCTTATTCATTGTTTTGTTATGTTACAAATGTTGTGAAATAATTACTTAAGGCTGCCACGCGCTACAGGAGAATTTGCCGGATTTTGGTTGCGATTTGTTTGTTTGTTGTGAGTTCAGGGAGGCTGCGCTCCTCGTGTGTGTGACTCCGAGCTGCTCTGTCAGATCATAACCACCAAACATCAGCAACGCTACAAAAACAGCTAATAAAACAGAGCGTCGGAGGCAGACGAAGTGACGGACAAAGAGGCGCAAGATACAAACTCAGGAAATAGCGAAAAAAATTATTAGGTACTCATCTGTTGTAAAGTTGTAAATGTAAAGTGCAGCATCTCATCCATATTATCTATAGAATTTGTCCTTCGCAAATAATGACACAGAGTCCACAAAACTGCGCTGTTAATCCAGTATGAAGTGTTCTTTAAAAGTAAAAAGGCCAGAGTAGTTCCTCACATGTTGTCTGTTTACACCCACACAGCGCACGGATCGAGGTGAAGCTGCAGATTTGCGACAGTGACTCTACTTCCGGTGGACTTTATCGCCAATCTTTTATGCTTTAAAAATCACGTATCTGAAGTTTTGCACCACATTTCACAAATAATAACAACAAAGTTTTGACTTGTATCTAAACTAGAAGTGCAGTGCTCCGATCTATTGAACACTTAAGAGTCTCAAAGCGAGTCTTTTTACTGTAGACAGGAAACAGCTTAAATGATCACACTCACAACAGTCCAGCCTGTGGTATGCAGACAAATCCAGTCTTATGTGATTGGAGATTTTTAAAATCCCTTTCTCCTTGTGTCTGTGGGGTACGCTTTTTGTTGCATATTTAAAAATCGTTTAAAACAGAAAAATCCTCTGGTGTGTGGCGGCCTTAACTTGCAAAACAAAATAATTATGTTGTATCCAGTTATGTTTTAGCAATTCGACTCTCTCTCACCTGTTCCCTTGTGCGTCCTGTAAACAGCAGGTGGCGACACTGAGCACACAGCGCTGATGATGGAAACTCTCCCACAACAACTCAATGCGGCGCTTCACTTCACTCACAGAGAAGAGTCTGAGGGCAATAACACTTCATTAAACCATTCAAATCAAAGAAGGTATCAACTAAAGCTTTTTCTATCCAGTCACTGTACCTGACGGCTCCATCGCTACAGGCCAAAGCGAGAGTCAAAGAGTCTGGGGTCTGCTCCAAAACGGCCATCGACATGTATCTACAGAGAGGTAATATTAATAATGAACTTAATTACAAAGTTGTGATAAAAAGTGACAAAAATAAATTAATTGCACAGTGTTTCCCATAGATTTTGCTTTGTTTTGTTCAATTTATTAAGTATAAATGTCAGTTACTGCCTATATATATATATATATATACTTTTAAATACTCTTTTTGGGTCTGTGTACTATTCGTTCTGTTGAATTTCAATTAAGATCAAAAAACAATACAATGGGAAAACGAAAAAAAGTTTGTTATTCCATTATTCCGTTTTAGTGTCAAACAAAAACAACAGATTTCGATCTCTATTTCCAATATTTAACTTAACTTCCAGGGCATATAAACCAGAGAATAAAATATCAAAATTGAAATAGACAGACTGTTTTTTGATTGTTGTTCTTTGAAATGTTGGAAATAGAGATTGAAATCTGTTTTTTGTTTTGTTTTGTTGGGACACTAAAACAGAATAACGAAACAACAAACATTTCATTGTTTTTCGTTCTTAATTGAAATTCAAAAGGACAGATGGTACACAGACCATTTTGACCGGTGCAGTCTCTTTTATAAGTTTATGATAAAACAACAAACAACAAAGTCTATTTTGTTACGCCAAAATATAGTCCAGTTTATTTTACACTATGGGAGCCCACCAAGAAAAAACAATATGTGAGTATTTTCTTTTACAGGTTATTTAGAAAGACTTAGAATTTTGCCTTTTGTGCTATTTACCATTTGTTATTTATTTATTACAGCACGGGATTGTGAGAAACACAATTTCTATTCTTTGTATGATCTTTGTATGAAGAATTGACAATAAACTTTGACTTGAATCAAACATAATTTACCACAATAACAATTTTATGACTTCATCGTGAAATTATTTGGTATATTATTGCATTCTGTTGGTCAAATTAACAAATAATATACAATGAAAATCTTTTATTTGAGCCGGTACCTCGTTTCTGGATCCATCTTGACCATCTTGTGTCTGTTCCTCTTCCTCTCCCACTGCTCGTCCAATCGGTGCGCTGCCACCTGGATCACCTGACAGGAAGGAGCCTCCCCCCGATCACCGCAGCCAATCAGGAGGCGGTAACACTGCATCTGAGCCCGCCCGCCTGCGGACACCACGAGCGCCGACAAACCCGCCCTGTCGCCGTCTTGGTTCGCCACCGCCGTCAACGCCCTCACACTCGATATATGATCCGTCAGAACTGCTAGAACTTTCATTTCGCCTTTTTTGGGGTTCAACGCCAAAACGGTGACGCTGGTATCTTCCCCGCCAGTCACAACAATGTCCCAGCATGCATTTCTTTGACTCATAATCCGTCCTAACCTGTGAACACACCCAATCCCTCTTCCGTGTATCCCTTCTCGTAGACTCCAACCAATTTTCCCATTGGCTTCCTTCACCGTTTTTTCCGACGCCAAAACTGCGCCTTGTTTGATAAAAACTAGAGCTCCATTTCCCGTCCAGTGTCCTTTTTCGTCCGTCCAAAGACTCCAAGATCGATGCCCACCCCCACACAGAACTGACAATAATTTTTCTTGACGAACAGGGTCCCACACGACAAAATGGTTGCCGTGAAAACCTACAATTGCAAAGCGTACTTCTTGGACACTCTGTTTTGTAGCGTCGATATTTTTTAAACACACGTGATTCGTTTCAGTCGATTCTTCCTTTTCCTCAGCCAAAATCTCAACTTCCTGTCCAACTTTTGTCTCCAGAATCAGTATTTTTTCAAGCCACTCCATTCCTTTACAAGCCCGTTGAACTCTTAAAACCTCCAGGACATATTCTTGAGTTTCGGACACTTTTGAATGAAAAATCCTCACACATCCGTCGCGTCCTGTACTGTAAAAAAGACCTGAATGCTCAAAAACTGAAGTCACCCCTTGTTTACCATGGACACTGAACAAAGCACTCACTGGAGTTAGTTTTAGCGTAGGTCTGCCTTTGTTTGTATCTTGATTTAGCGTACTGGCTTCTTGAATTTCTTCCTCTGGTTCTTGGTTTACTTCATTAGCAAGATTTTTCTCTAGAAGATCTATTTCGTCCACTCTGCTCTTTGTATTTTCCCTTTCTTGGAACAAAAGTAGTGACCCTCTTCTGTCTCCACAAACCCAGCCGATATCTTCTCCCAAATGAACTCTTATAGCCGCTGTTAACCATCTTTTACTACATTTTGGCAGCTCAAAACTCGCCAATTCTACCACTTTTAATTGAACATTTTCACTTTTTGTAACTTCTATCCACCAGCGATGAACAAGACCATCACTTCCAGAAGCCAGCAACCAAGCGAATCCATCTACGCTTCCTTTTCGCCAGATTAAACTATGAATTTTCCCATTTCCCGCAACCAAGCGCACTCCACTTTTTGGATTTGCGATAGAAAAAACCTGCACTGATCCGTGAATATTCGCCACAGCGCACAAATGAGTGAGTGAGTCTTTGTTTTTGACGCTAACTACTTCCATAACGCAGTAGGATTGAAATTCAGGTGGTCCTTGCCAAACTAGGTCCCATTTTGCGTTTGTATATTCATAGACGCCTCCTTTATCTGTGCAAACGAGGAATCTACAATCGCTCCATGTTGAGTTTTCAGAATCTAATGCGCAAATTACTTTAGGGACGCCAACGCCAACAAAGTGTGTGTCGACAGTGGACTTTTCAATTGTTGTTTTTGCATCCATTTCATCATTTAAATCGCTTTTATCATGTTTTTGGAAAACTTGTTCGGTTTCAAGATGGCTTTGGTCTTGCTTCTCCACAAAAGTTTCACTGAGTTTAAGGTTGTCCATTGTCACTTCCATTTTATTTACCATATTTCCAGTTTCAGGATCATCCATTTGAAGTGCAGGTTCTTCTTTTTCTAACTTTAAATAGTGAGCTTCATGTTGCGTTTTCATGTTTTCTGACCTCAAACTCTTGTCTTGTTGTTTAACTTTTTGCTTCTTCAACTCTTTTGCGTCTATTTTGTCCACGGGAAACTTCAGATCTTTTAAATTCTCTTCATTGTCTTCCGTTTGGTCTTGCTTTACTCCGAGCTTCCACAGTCTCACTCCTCCATCTGCTCCACCTGATGTCACCCAAATAGCTTTTTCACAGCTTTCTGAACTGACTGCCAAAGAGCGTACACCTCCAGCTCTATGCCCTTTCAGCGTTTGCACAACCTGACCGTTATCCCACATCAAGCAAGCTCCATCTTCTCCGGCGCTGAAAACTTTGGAATTCAAAAGCCTTACAGAAAAAACTCTAGCCTGATGTCCGTACAAAACGTGTAAACAAACTGGATTCTCTTCACCACAGTGTCCTCCCTTTCCTCCTAATTTCCCAACTTGCCAAATTCTGACACTTCGATCGTCCGAAGCGGAAGCAAGAACTCCCTCTTTTTCCGAATATGAAATGTCAAAAATGACTCCGCTGTGACCCAAAAGACGCCGTTCCACAGGGGGTTTTGATTCAACATTTTCCGCTACCTCTCCTGGTTTCCAAATAACGAGTTGATTAAAAACAGTTCCTCCGATAAGCACAGTATCAGACCAAGATTTGTGAGCTAAAACTAGGGCAGAGTAAAGAAGACAGCCTTCGGAGCATGATCGCCGGTAGAGGATAGTTTCTGAATCAGTGTCCAGGAGAAGAGCACTGTTATGGGCTAAGGCGACGCAAAGGAGTGGGCCTGGGTCTCCGGACATCCAGCGGACATCTAGAATCCAGTCGTGGAGCTCAATAATGGGGTGAATGTTTTCTAAATGAAGAGGGTCCGATCGGTGGAGACGGATGAGACGTACAGCTTTGCCTCCAAACACTGCCAAGTCGTAAAAAGACTCGTCTGGTCCTAATGGAATAAACAGACAAGATAAACATTTGGTGAATTTAGATTAGAGCTGGGTATTATTAAGAAGTTATTGATATGATACAAATCTTGATACAGTGCACTTTCGATTCGATACGATATATTTCAAATCGATTCAATACGGTTCAATAAAAAACAAAGGTTGTGATACTAAAAGTCTTTGTTAAACCACTTCTTGGGCAAAGTTTAATATGAAAAGCACCCATTTTAATCATCAAAACAGTGAAAATGTCAAATGTGTTGCATAAACGAGTTTCCTTCCTCTAAACAAGCATCAAAACTGTCGTGCTGTAACAAAATAATTTAGTAAAGGAGCCCACGATATCAATACCGTATCAAACACATTAAATGATACGATATATATTGATATTTTTACATGCTCCTAATTTAGATACATGCGAATTAATCCATAGGAGCAGAGACTAAAATATAAACTATATAAACATTTGAAACTCCTCCATTACACATTAAAAGGCCGGTATTCTGCTATTTTCTGATCTATGTTATAATGTTGTTGCTCCCTCACAAACATCTGGAGTTGTGTTTTGTTTCATTCACTCACAAGTTTAACACACAAACCGCGATTATTCAGGCTTCTTCTCTCAAACAGAAAACACTCTGTTACACATTGTGATGTCATGTGGTAGTACAGGAAGGGCTTCACTGTGTTTTTAAACTCCATACACCTTGACTAGAGTCACCTATATCTCTACTGGACAAGAGATAAAAAAGTGGCTGTTAAATTGAAAACTTTCGCTTCATGACATGACAAGGTAGAACAGAGCATTTCGAGCTTTGGAAATGTAGACAGACTAATAATAAAGGGTGACTCAAACATGTTCTGTGTGAAAGAAACACAACACAACTCCAGGTCTGCTCTTGATGAGGTAACAACATTCTAACATGTGCCCAGAATCAATTTTGTGTAATATAAGACCTTTAAATAATCTTACCAGGCTTTTCTTGCTGTGGTGTTTTTGCATCTTGTTCTTGCTGCCGTTCTTTTGGTCGTATCCCGTGGATTCTCTGGTGCTGGAGGACGCTCAGGGAAGAACAGTTTTTGGGAGAAGGATGAAGACTGTAAACTGTCAACACTGGACCCTCACCTGCCAGGACAGAAGAAGGTTTTGGTTATGTGATTGTGATTAGCACTATTTTATGTTTTATTACTTAGAGGAAGATTTAATCATGTCTGATCCTGGAATATGGTAAATAAATGGTCTTACATCAAAGCATCCCATTAATACAAGAGTCTAATTCCATTCAAAAAAACTGCTTAATTGTGAAATACAGGCAATAAATGACATTTAAACTCCACAAACTGTTTGAAAAAATAAAAAATAAAAATCTAGAAAACATTTGTGCCACCATAGTCTCAAAAAATCTACAAAATCCATGGGAAACACTGTAGATACTCTGGACTAAAAACAGAAAACAGAAAGTATCACATGTTTAGATTATGGACTTTTTCCTACCAGAGAGCAAAAACTCGTTTTCAATAAACTCCAGAGCTGTGACAGGAGCAACCAAAGCTGCAGTCTCCATTTGTGATACTGACTTTAGTTTTCAATCAGAAATAAAAACTTTAAGATAAAACTTCACTTGAAAACAGATGCCAAGTTAGCCACACATGCTAACAGCCACCGCTTGGTCTGACATTTTAACAGCCCTAAAGGCAGAATATTCCCATCTCAACGTATACGGGGAATGTCTATATTTGATCAATCTCGTCTGAATCATAACAGAAGTTGTCAAAGCTTTAAAATCAATAAAATATCAAATCTGTCGCCAAAGTCCAGAGCTTCACATGTTTTCACTGCTGCTTGTCGCACTTCCGGCGTCGCTGCTCCATGCTGCGCGCTGATTGGTTAGACAAACATAACACGTGTTTTAATTGGCTGAAGCGCCACACGTGACCGCACGACTGTGTGGGTTTTGTAATGCCGCAAAGGAGGCAGGAGATGGCGCTAGAGTTCAATGGAGGGTGGAGCAGCTCTCTGCACGTGAATCTGTTACTGCGGGTGCACGATGCATAAAATGAGCATTTTTTTCTCTCGTTTATTTTTCAAATAATCAGGCCTACATATTGCTTTATTGTTGCCAGTCGACGGATTCCTTCTCAACTAAAATCAGTGCAGGTGACAGACTAAACTGTCTATGCAGGATATTTAATGTATAACAGCTATATTACCTAGGGTGACCAAACGTCCGTTTTTCCCCGGACATGTCCGTATTTTGCGTCCTGTCCGGGGCGTCAGGGTTTTTTTTTTTATAAAGTGGTGCAAATGTCCGGTTTAGTCCTGTTTAGTCCTGACCCACCCGTGTGTAATTACTACCTGTAATACACAATACGCGTTCATACGCTGTAAAAAACTGCAAAAAAAAAAAAAAATTGCAAAAAAAAAAATCCGAGGACCCCCCCCAAAGGTGTCCGGGTTTTCACAAACGGAAATATGGTCACCCTAATATTACCATTATTTAGACTTTTGTCCGAACGTGGAGCAACAAATCATGCTGCATTTTAGCGATCAACAACTTTGCCAAATATACTCCTTTATCAACGTTGTGTTTGAAAAGTAAGTTTTAAAATTATATTCATAAAGTGACAAGCATTTTTGCTAAACCTCAGACATAGCTAACCCGCTAGCCGCCGCGTTCCAAACAGGAAGTGAACATGGGGACGCTTCTGGCTCCACGGACTCTGTTTACAATTGTTTTTACATTGAAAATTTGTCACCCCTCTCTCTGTGGCTGCACCAGTGAGCCTCATTAGTTTGGTTTGTATTAACCCTCTCTACACGATCCTGGTGTTTTTATTTCACTATTTTGTCCATAAATTATTGTTCTAATAATGAGTTTGGCTCCAAATTCGCACCTATAACTGCTGACACTATGAGTCTCATTTGACTGGAGCCAAACGCTATGAGTGACGTCGCACTCCCTTTGTCCACTTCTTTATACAGTCTAGACAAATGTGATTTGTTGTTTGTGCATTTTGCTGAAAACAGAGACTGTATGACAATACATGTTGTGTTTTTTTTTTCTTTTAAGAAGTACACTTGGGCTATTGTCTACGATGTCATCCTGGAGACATGAAGCAACTAGTGCCAAGGATGAGAACCACAACATGGTGGGACAATGAAGTACGTCACTAAATGTGTGTTTAACTGTAATGACTCTAACACCTGCTTCTTAGCCACATGTTTATATGTTTCTCCCAGCTATTGTATCATTATTTTACATCAAAACCAACAGTCTAAACTAAAGTTATGTAACATAACTTGCTTTTTCCCCATGACTCTAACCAAATCACACCAAACACTCTGCACTATTGTTTATTGTCAACACAAAAGAGTCAGACTTGGCCCAGAGCTGGAGCTGTTCCTTCTGATCATCTTAACTCCAGCCACAACATGGTTTACAGTTTGTGAATCCATGTGCGAGGCTTTCGAGGAAGAAAAATGTAATTGTGACGTTTATAATGAACTCAAACTAATCTACTCATTCACCTGAGCAGTTCCCAGAGCAGAGAGAGCCTTTGTGGAGGTTCGTTAGTGGTAATTAAGATCCAACTTATCAGAGGAGCTTGGCAGAGCGCCCTAAATCTCGCCTTCTAATGAGCCTCTCTCTGCAGGACTGTGTGCACGGACAGGGCTGGGCTGAACATGTGGGTGGTGCAGGCGGTTTCTGTCAAACATATAATTACTGCACAGATTTGTTTTGTTTTCTGCTACGGTCGGGTCATCCTGCCTTGTTACAGTTTAACACTGTCCTGGTTCACTGAGGAGAGATGTAAACAGACAAGGAATTCATGTTCATGTTTCAAAGTGGCTCAGATTTAATAGTTTTTCTTTTTTCTTTTATATCTTTTAGTTGGAGAATCTTGGACAAAACTTCTGGCAAGAAAAGGTAAGGAAAGAGAAGGGAAGTTTATTTGTCTGTCACAATTCGTACACAAAGTAATTGAAAGTGCTTTACAGAATAAGAAAAACATTAAAATCATAATATAAATCAAAACATAAACTGCCTCCACTGCTTGATTGCAGGTTTTGGATCAGAGGTAATTACTAGGGATGAATAAACTTTTGCGTATAGAATTGCCAAACTATTACAAGAAATGACATGTGTTTCTTTTAGAGATAGAAACAAGGTTATATTCAAGAATCCATTGAGACAGAAATATTTAGTTCTCTGCTGAGGACTCAAGTAAACCTTTGCAACAGAGCGACACGATATTGGAAATTACTGTGATTTGCAATATGGTTGTTAAAGGTCCAATATTATGCAAAATTGACTCTCGTGAGCTTTTAGTCATATTATAATGTTGTTATCTCCTCAAAAACAGACCTGGAGTTGAGTTTTGTTTCATTCACACATGTTTGAGTAACACTTTATTATTATTATTATTAGTCTGTCTATATCTTCAAAGCTCTAAATGCTCTGTTCCACCTTGTGATGTCATGTAGCGGTTGTTTTCAAGTTAACTCCTACCTTTTAGATGGTCAATTCCAGGGCTGAAATTATCCAAATGATTCTAGTGAAGGTGTATGGAGGTTAAAAAACAGTGGAGCACTTTTTGGATTACGACATGACATCATAAGGTGATTTCTGCTTCAGAGGAAAAACTCTAAATATACAGGGTTCAGGGGCGGACTGGTAATCTGAAAGTAGAGTAATATGGGCTCTTTAAAGATGAAAATTCAAGTTAACAGCTAGGGGTGTGCAAAAATATCAAAACATTGATATATCGTATTGTTTAATGTGATGATACAGTATCGATATGTATTGCCAAGAGTGTTTTTTGGTATATTTTACTAAATTATTTTGTTACAACTACAGTTTTGTTGCTTGTTCAAAGGAAGGAAACTCATTTATGTGACACATTTGACATTTCCATTTTCATGTTTTGATGATTAAAATGTTTGTGTTTCATTTTCACTTTGCACAAGAAATGATTTAACAAAGACTTTTAGTGTCACAGTCATCATTTAGTCATTATTTTTTAGTGAACCGCATCGAACTGCTTTGAAATGTTGCGAATCGACAACTTCTTAATGATACTTTTAACATCTACCTCTTACCTTTTGTTTAGTAAAGATTCTAGAGCTGAAATCATCCAAATGATTCTAATGAAGCTGTATGAACCTCTGACGTAAGCGAATGCAATAAGCTTTTATAAATGTCTAGAGGCCCATTGCTCATCTACACAATCTTTCACACAACACGACTATCTTAGATCTATAATATGACTATAGTTTTGTTAGAACTGCACATGGACTTCCACTAGAAGGAGCTTGTACCACAGTTTGAGAACGCCAGACTTTAATCAAACTTTGTACAAGATTAAATATTACTGTTGTTTGCTAAGAACTGCTCCTTGAGTCATGCATTTTTAAATACAGAATAAATGTGATATAAATATTTCATGCGGTCTCAAACTAAATGTCAGTCAATTCAATAAAATATATTCATCTCATGGGAAGGTGGAGAGTGGACACAGGTCGAAACAATCTGTATGTAAATCACATTGTAACCAAGAGTGTCTGCCGTCCGAGAGAGGCAATAGATATTTAAATTATTCTAACTTGAGACTTTTTATGTTTAGATTGTGACAGACAGTGCCACATGGGGGCGCTAGAGTTACAGGTAGGAATATTATACGTGTTCTTTTGAATCTAAGGCTATTTTTGTACTGGTTTTGTCCTGGTTTTGTCCAAGTGTAGTTAGTCTCAGTTTAGTAACAATAATGATGTGATGTTTGTGCTCCTAAACTGTTTTTATTTTCCTTCCAAGAATGTATATATCAACGGTAGTAATCCTTTATTATTATTATTATTAGTCTGTCTACGTCTCCAAAGCTCAAAATGCTCAGTTCCACGTCATGAAGCTGTATAGTTTTCAAGTTAACAGCTACTTTTTACCTTTTGCTTCAGCAGAGATTGGCAATTCCAGGGCTGAAGTTATCTAAATGATTCTAATGAAGGTGTGTAGAGTTTAAAAACACAGTGGAGCACTTCCTGTATTACTTCACAAGGTAGAGTGTTTTTTGAAAGTGTTGTTGAAAGAAGAATTCTCCTAAACATGCAGGATTTGTGTGTTCAACATGTGTGAATGAAACAAAACACAACTCCAATATGGGCCCTTTAAGTCTATTTTCTAATAATTATAAAGTTTTAGTTTGTTCTTGAACTGTGTGTTGTAATTTTCTCCTGTTTGGGACAAATAAAGGTCCTGTCTCATATTTTATTTTTCTACCATGGACCACTCCGAGGCAAGTCAGGCATTACACCGACTAGTATGAATCAATGCAGAATAGAAAAGAAAAAAATTATAAACACCAATTTGTCTTTAAAGGTGCACTCTGTAACTTTTTGGTTGGGGGTCCGCCACCTGCTTGTTTCTGTGGATATGTCACTTCTCTGTCTGGAATGTTCCGCAGTTAAACACCTCTACCTCAGATTTATTCAATTACAGTTGGTTTTAAAGCTCAAAAATACAGAGAAAAACTGGCATCCTGACCGTGAGCGAGGTCGCCTCTCCACAGATCTGACCTGTAACTTGGTCTGGTTTGGTCTCCTTGGAGATAGAAATGTTTCACAGTTAGGAGTGTGCAAGATTATCAAAATAACAATATATTGTGTCGTTTAATGATATTGTTTGATGATACAGTGTTGATATCGTGGGCTGCTGTATCGATATATATCGTCAAGAGTATTTTTTGGTGTATTTTACTAAATTATTTTGTTACAGCGCTACAGTTTTGTTGCTTGTTTAGAGGAAGGAAATTCGTTTATGCGACATATTTGACATTTTCACTGTTTTGATGAGTAA